GTCTTGGAAAACAAGTATAGCATTTGTTTTGCTTAGTCAGGTACTGTAATGGGTTCTTATTTTTATTTTACGTAGTCCCTCAAAAAGTAATTTGGCCTCATAAATGCCAACTATTGTTGAAGTAGGTTCAGTAGGTAGGTAAGACAACAGCAAGACAAGCTGATCAGCTTTTCCTTTTGGACTTTTTGCAGTTCTGACAGTGAGAAACAAAAAAGTTCATTCATTTAGTTAAGTCAGCAGATCTGTTAGCCTCTAAACTGGTATTAATATTTTTGCTTTGGCTAAATATAGCTGTTCATACACAAGTGACTCATTAGAGGGGCCTTCTTCATGACTATGACTTAGTATGTGGAAATTGCTGATATGGTTGCAAGTATGGTCTGGTGACACAGCTGGGCTCTGCAGTTCTGAACACAATGGTGGGCGCATTGGCGGGGGTGGGGTATCACATACATAACTGGTAGCAACAGCAGCAGCAGAGTAGTTAACAGCAGCAGCATTAACAGGGTAGTATATCACATAGGGAATTGGTCACCACTCCATTTCTCTTATTATTATACCTCGACCACACGCCATGCCATGCCTTGGATGCCTATGGTCAGCTGTGGAGTAGGAGGGAGCAAGGGTAAAAAAAACACAAAGAAAAAATCACAGCAGCACCTACTGGCTAGAGGCCTGAACTACAGAAAAGCACAACACCACAGCACCACGTGGTGCCGATTGAAAGTAATTACAAGTCTGCGTTGCTGACTGTTTCCAAGACACGAATCCATAGAATGGAGCGAGGTAAGCAAACTTGACGCAAAATAAAATATGTCCCAGCAGTGATAGTTTAACGCACTGAAAAGACTTTTAGAGCAGCAGGAAATCCTGATCATGCAAACACAAACTCAGTTGTGTTAGCGTAAATAGGAAATCTTGTGTCTTCTACAAATGCCCTTATAGTTCATGTCTTCCCGCAGGGAATTAATTCAAGACTGCAACCCTTTTTAATATAGACCACAAACATGAGGTAGGAAAGCAGCACAGTAAAATTTCTGGACACTAACAACAAGACTTGGAATCAAAGGCTTTGACCTAGAGGTGAAAGGCTCTATAACCAGTCATCTGAATCATTCAGTCTCTCATCACCTATGGTTTGAGCATCATCAGGACATCCTTTAGACCAGTGTTTCTCAGCTTGTGGGTCGTGACCCAAAAATAGGTTGCAAGAATATTTGAAAGGGTTACGAAAAATCTCAGTAAAGCACAGGTTTTCCCTTACAGGGTGGCAGCCTTCCAGCTTGCAAGGAGCTGCTTGGAGTGATTGGAGGTAGGGTGCACCACATCATTGTGCATTGCATGCACACATGCCCTTAGCCGGCATGCAGCCAGGCAGGGTGGTGGGAGTACCCCAGCAGCTGGATGCAAATAATTCTATGGGGAGTGGGGGTTGGAGGGCCAGGGTTTGGGGACTGGCTGGGGGGTTGAGTGTGTCTGTGTGTGTCAGGGGTGTATGGAGGGGATGGGTGTGTGAAGGGGGTGGGTGCCATCTGGTGCTGGAGGCACAAGTCTAGGCACTGGTGTGGGGGAAGGGAGTGGGGGGATCCTTCAGGGGTGGCAGGGATCTGTATGGCTGGGACAGCAGCACCAGGGCTGGTGCCCATGCTCACAGGGGGGGCGGCCAGGAGACACTGCCTGGTGGGGGAGCTATGGTCAGGCCACCTTGCATGGTGTGGGAGCCCCAGCCCAGGGTGGAGGGTGCCACAGGCATCCCCTCTTCCTCCCTGCAGCCTGTGCTGGGGCCAGACTCATTCCACCACCACCCACATGAGCCACACTCCAGCCCAGGCAGAACAGGGGCAGCTACAGGGCCCCTCCAATAGGGCTGGGGTGGGGCAGAGAGATTCAGGTCAGGAGTGAGGGGCACCACTACAGCTGTGGGGTGGGGGGATGGCTGCAGCTTGGGAGTGAGGGGCACCAGCAGGGCCAGGGGGCTGCAAGTTGGGAATGAGGCTTCAGCCCTGCCCTGCTCCCAGTGCGCACTAGCAGAAATTAATGAAGGTGCTCCACTTTGAAGCTCTTTCATCTAAACCCTCATGTAATAAGGGCTCATTTGTTTCATAGTGAGGCACTTTTTAATGCACTCTGCAGCTGTGTATTTCAGCAGAGTGCACAGCTGCAGAGTGCTTTCAGTGTCTGATGATGCGACAAAATGTCACTTCTGTCAGTGCCCTTAGAACAGCTATCTGAATCTGTAGCCTACTGAATTTCTGTCATTTTACAAATTTAAAGAAAAAAAATGACCAAAATAGCAATTGAATTAGTTAGTGTTACCTATGATTGACTCAAAGCAGAGAACTCATTTGTATTCTGTAGAATATGGTAAAACAATTTTTTAATCACATGTTAATCAGTTTTATCTAAAATTGTAGGAAGGGAAAGCATTTTTGCTTTTGTTTACAGTAATAGTAGGCAAATTGGTGATGAAATACCCAGCACTAAGTAGTATATAAAAACATTGTCAAGTGGTTATGATAACAGCCAAAGACCTGCTCTTGCATTGCTTTTGATTCTTTGCCTGACCCCAGGTGCAAGGTAGAACAACTTGGCTGTTGCTCTACCTTGCACAGTTGGCTATTCCCACAGGACCTCCTACTAGCTAGAAATTGCCAGAGCACCTCATTTTCCATCTACTTTCATCTCATTTCGGTCTCCAACATGAATAGGGCTATAGCAAGGGGAACTGGGTCTACACCTGGCCAAAGGAACCCACAACAGAAGTCTGTTCCCTCTTTGCACCCAATGACCAAAGGAGTGAATCTGCCCAAAGCACTGAATCTGAAAGAGGAAATACATTCAACTAGTCCAGCTGGTTCAGCTTGCTCATGTGATAAAGTCTTCTGCTATTAAGGCTCTTGAGACGTTGAAGGATATGATTGCTGCCTGAGATAGAGACAGAGTGAGAACCTAAGGAATTTCAAATACTTGTTGGTGGGGGGCAGGGGTGTGTGGAACAATTCCATGCTAGTCTCTTCTTAGTCTCTTCTTTTTGTTTGTTTATTCCTTGCCATTGTCTTTTCACTTGTCTGTCAATCAGTTGCTAGGCAACCAGCTCTGCCTACGTGACCCTAGCCAGATGAGAGGGGGGGTGGACCAAACTCTCTGTTGTGTTAGCATTGGTCTCATGGAATGGGGACAGGGTCACAACTCCTGTCACTCTAGGAGATGACCAGTGATGCTTTTTGAATTGATTGGTTGGCACCCAACAATACCTGGCCTTCATTGGGTCTGAAAGGTGATGTCAAAAGGCCTATATAAGCTAAGACTGCCCAGGAGGAGGGGGTAGCAGCCATGTTAAGTCTCATACGGCAACTGGAACATCTTCAACTCCCCTTCTCTCAGGATGCTGAGGGTGCTGAAGTGAGTACACTACTTGAAACATATCTAGAAATATAGCCTGCTGTAATGTAGAAGCGTATCAAACAGCTACTTAGCTGACACTGTTTGCTTCTAGGTTATTCTTTGATATTTCTCTAACCTGTAACCTTCCCCAAGCCTACTCTCTGTAACCAATAAAGGTCTCCACTGTATCGAGCATGGTGGGCTCATTGGGAGAGGGTTTGGGCATGCCTTTTTTATTCCCTTGGCTTGGATGACCAGGGGAGGCTACTTTTTGTGCTTCAGGCTAAAGGAAGCACTCCAGATTCTTGCAGTGGGTCAAGCACCCTCTAGGACTACAAGGCTTGTGTGCTCTGGGGGGGCACAGGGCCGCAGACAGTCCAGACCCCTGGGTGGTGGTAGCAGTGACCCCAGGCTTGTGGGTGTACTCCAGGAAGGGGGTCGGTCAGATGTGAAGTGCCCCCGTGTAGTCATGTGGAGCTTGGTAGGTGGTTGGGCACAGTGATGTGGGTGGCTCAGCACAGGAGTGCCCCCTACTAGCCCACCACGGGGGGGCGGGGGGCGGGGGAGGAGTAATAATATTAGGTCTCTGCTTTCTGCACAGCACCAATAAGCTTGCAAACCACTTGTGCTAACAACTAAAAGGGCAATAGGGAAAAGATGGACAAAACCTTGTCTTACCAAATTGCAGATATTTTTCCTTCTATAGATCTGCACCAGAGCCAACATTTAGAAGCCTCCAGAACAGGTTGTTTTAAATGACAATTATATATATTAAGTTATGAAAAAACCCCAACAATATAAATAATCTAGGAACCTTCTTGTTGTCAGGAGAGTACTGGGACTAGTGACATGTCTGAAAGAAGAATGAAGAAATAAGTAAAGGTTCAGAAAGAAGAGAAGGTGATGAAAAGTTAGCTGATTTTACTGTGCTGGAGATATGAATTCAAACTGTAGAGGGTAAATTTCAGGACAAAATGACTAACTGAAAAAGGCAAGTGACTCTACCATCGTAAAAAATATTGATTCCTCTGGGGAAAAAAAACAAAGAATTAAAATCCAGCAAACAGAAGTATGATCTATGAAACTGTGTCTCTGTGCTTAGCTTTCCCTCATCATTCCTAGTTTTGCTTAATTTAACATAAAAAAGCAATCGCTGATACTTACTGACAGGTAGTGTAGCAAGCATGTGGGAAACACCACTTATATGGAAGACAGCTGTCTGAATCCACTAGATAGGCTGCCCTGGATTTCACAAAATGGAAGGAGGAAAAGGACAACTACAGCTTCTATGAGACCCACAGTAAATGTTTCTACCTTGACTACATGGAGTGGAGAATGCTCTACATCACAGGCACTCTAGCCTTCTTTCCTGTGTCAACATACAATCCATAAACTGCCTCTGAGGGCAATACTCAGGAAAGGTCACATGAGTATTAACTGTGCCCTACTAGGATGCTAGCCCAGAAGGTTCTGTCATCCCTGCAAAAATGTGTCCTCTGAAAGGCTGAGGCACTCTGTGTACTGAATGGCAAGAAAAAGACTCCAATTTCAACAGATAAAATTTGGTGGAATTTCTTTTTCATGTCAATACTGAACTTTGGCTTTTTTCCTCACAGGAATAACCAGGATGATCCCATCAACTGCAGCCACTCCTCCTTCTGAGGCTCTCTTTCACAACCTATCTTCGCAGGATTTCTGGAGGTCACAAATCTCAGGCTATTCTGGATCAGTAACACGCCATATCAGTCATCGTGCCAACAACTTTAAAAGACACCCAAAAAGAAGGAAACACATCCGCCCTTCTCCTCCACCTCCCCCAAACACCCCATGTCCTATTGAGCTGATTGACTTTGGGGATCTTCACCCTCAGAGGTCTGTTCTAGAGCTCTTATTTAATGGATGTATCCTGTTTGGGATTGAGTTCAGCTATGCCATGGAGACAGCCTATGTGACTCCTGTGCTGCTTCAGATGGGGCTGCCAGATCAGTTATATGGAATGGTGTGGTTTATCAGTCCAATATTAGGTAGATAATCTTATTTTTACTCTTCTACTTTTCCATTCCATAAAGGAAGAGTGTACTACTGAATTCTCTCTTTTCTTTGCTATTTAATTAACTAGACAAGCTAACTGTACAGGTAATTGTATAAGTTAACTGCACAGCTTATGTGGTAGTTGTGAAAAACTGCCTGAGACTTACAGGGAGTGTCTACATATGATATAAGTGCCACACAATAAACTCTGGCTCAGCTTGAGCCAGAATTTACTGCTTCCAGGAGCTGCATTTACGTATGTGTCTGGGACTGTAGCACATTGAGCTGGGTCAGAACAGCCCTGGCTAGCAAGGGATCTGGGGGGGTCAGCTTGCCAGCCCAGGGCTGCTACAACCTGGCTCAGCATGCTGCAGAGGGGCTGTCTGGGGCACAAGGGTGCTCCAGTGTGGGGCTAGCCAGCAGGCAACCCCCACACTGAAGCAACCTCATGCCCCAGCCAGCCCCATTAGCGTCTACATGTGTGTTGCAGCACACTAAATAATGCAACAACAGTATTTACAATACAGTGTTTACAAATTCTATCCTACTGTGGTGTTTATTAGTTTACTGTGGTCTAATAGGGTTGCATGTGTAGATGCTGAGACTTTACTGTGAAGCTAATTAGTGAGGTCTGCTGTAAACATCTCATGTAGATGCACCCACAGAGAACAGAATGATCACTGGCCCAGGATGGGATGGGGCAGCCATGATGAGAAAGGGTTCTCTCATTGTTCATTTCTTCATTAGTTACCTTTTATTTGCAAACCTCCAGAACTCTGTCTATTTAGTTTGTACATTTACAAACTAATTAAAAAAGAAGAACCAGGATATTAATCCCTGGATGCCCATCCAAAAGAGGTGAAGGAATAGATACTGGTCCCTGTGGGCTTGTCAAAAAGCAGGATCAAGTGGCAAGAAGTATTTTTAAGTTAAACAAGGCAGCCAAGAGATGGGACAGAGTTTACTTGTCCCTTCAGGGTTTTGCTTCCTGATGATGGGGCTATGTTGTATTCCTCTTCACAGAGTTGGGATAGGAGGTTTACCTCTCTCTGTAGGAAGAGTAGCAGAATGGATTACCCTGTAATTTGGAAGCATCCTTTTGTCTTCCTTTGTACTTTTAAAACTGATTTAAAAAGAGAAGAAATGATTTTCTTGCTCTGCCACTGTCTCCCCAGCTGGCCCGGTGTAACTCAAGCATCAGTGCTCACTGCTGGCTTAGATATTGACCTGACTGCATATACAGGGCTAATGTTATAAGGAAGTTCCAAGTGAAGGCAGGGTAGGCAAAGTTGTTTATACTGCGCAGAGTGCCTTAGGAAGGGGTGTCAAACTTGGGCCTCATGGGCCAGATCTGGATCAGGGGGTTGTGCATGAGCTAAGTTACCAATGAGCAACAGCAGTGGTATTAATCCATGTGGCTGCTGGGACCGCTGTTTAAGCATGGCTCTGGAACCCAGGGACTTCACACCACCGCAGCTTGTCAACTTTATCCCCTGGCACTGATTTTAGTCACCAGAGGTGACTAAAAATTGAGATTTCAGCAGCAGGTAAGGGTGGCAAGCAGTGTTTAACTCCCTGGGTTTTGGAGCCATGCCAAAATAGTGGAGCCTGAGCAATTGCAGAAATGATCCTCAGGCTGTATCTAAACCATGGAGGTGGGTGGTCCAGATGCTTGACGCTCCTTAACTTAAGGCATAAAATACTTGCCCGTTTCTGTTTTGCCTTGTCAAACTTCATTATCATTTTGAAATGGGTTGGACAGTATGGTGCCAGCTGGTATCTATTGACCATCATATAATGTATTGCAGTTTTCGTTCTCCACTCTAGAAATTTTGAACAATGAAATGGTGCTTAAAGCTTAGATGGCTACTACAGATTAAGCAGGTCACATTCTGCCTCAGTAACCATAGAATCATAGAAAATTTGGGTTGGAAGAGACCTCAGGAGGTCATCTAGTCCAACCCCCTGCACAAAGCAGGACCATACCCAACTATATCATTCCAGTCAAGGCTTTCTTGAGCCGGATCTTTAAAACCTCCAAGGATGGAGATTACACCACCTCTCTAGGTAACCTGTTCCATTGATTCACCACCATCCTAGTGAAAAAGTTATTAGATTAATAGATTGTAAGGCTGGAAGGGACCCTGGAAGATCGTTGGGTCTAGCCCCCTGCACCAAGCAGGAAAGATAACTGGGGGTCAGGTGACCTCAGGAAGGTATTCTCCTCTTGAACATTTCCAGGGTAGGTGATTGCACCATCTCTAGAGGGATCTTATTCTACAGTCTGTTCACCCTGACTGCGAAGAAGTTTTCCTCACTGTTGAGCCTGAATCGGTCTTCCAGGAGTTTGTGGCCATTACTCCTGGTTTTCCCCTCGGGTGCCTTGGTGAACAGTTGCTCACTGAGCCCTTGATGTACTCCCCTAGTATAGCAGTAGGCTGACACCAGGTCCCCTATCAGCCTTCTTTTCTTCAGGCTGAAGAGTCCCAGATCCCGCAGCCTTTCCTTGTATGGCTTGCCATGTAAGACTCTAATCATATGGGTGGCTCTTCGTTGGACTCTCTCTTGAACATGTTCTTGTTAAAGTGTGATGCCTAGAACTGGATGCAGTACTCCATCTGCGGTCTCACCAGTGCTGAGTAGAGTGGAAGAATCATTTCCTTGGTTTTGCTGGAGATGCATTGATTGATGCATGCCAGAGTATTATTTGCCCTACTGGCTACAGTATCGTACTGCTGGCTCATATTCATACTGTGTTCAATTATTACCCCAGGTCCTTTTCATTCATAATGCTAGTCAGTTTGGTGCCGCCAAGCCTGTAGGTGTGTTGGGGGTTGCTCACCCCAAGGTGGAGAACTTTACATTTCTCGACACTGAATTTCCTCAGATTCCAATCTGCCCAACTTGCTAGCCTTTCTAGGTCCGCCTGTATCTGTAGCCTATCTTCAAGTGTGATCACACTTCCCCATGACTTGGTGTTGTCCATGAACTTGGCCAGTGAGCTCTTCACCCCAACATCCAAATTGTTAATAAAGATGTTGAAAAGTACTGGACCAAGCACTGACCCCTGCGGGATACCGCTGCCCACTTTTAGCCAGGATGACACAGATCGGTTCACTACAACTCTCTGGGTCCTATCCTGTAGCCAGTTTCTCATCTACCTGACTATCTCAGAGTTAAACCCAATTATCTCCAATTTTCTCGCGAGGACATTGTGGGATACTAGATCAAAGGTTAGATCGAGATCAATGATACTAGATAATGCCTAATATGTAAACTAAACTTCCAGCTTGCTGCATCTTGACACCATTGCTCCTTGTTCTGTCATCTGCCACCACTGAGAACAGTCTAGTTCCATCCTCTTTGGAGCCACACTTCAGGTATTTGAAGGCTGCTATTATCCCCCCTCAGTCTTCTCTTGCAGACTAAATCAGCCCAGTTCCCTTGGCCTCTCCTCAGAAGTCATGTGCCCCAGCCCCTGAACCATTTTTGTTGCCCTCAGCTGGACTTTCTCCAACTTGTCCACATCCTTTCTGTAGTGGGGGGCCCAAACTCCTGTGTGGCTTCACCAGTGCAGAATAGAGGGAAATAAGCACTTCCCTCATTCTACTGGCAATGCTCCTACTAATGCAGCCCAGTATGCTGTTATCCTTCTTGGTAGCAAGGGTACATTGTTGATTTATATCCATCTTATTGTCTACTGTAACCTCTGGATCCTTTTCTGTAGAGCTGCTGCTTAGCCAGTCAATCCCCAGGCTGTAGCGGCGCATGGCATTGTTCCACCCTAAATGCAGGAGTTTGAACTTGTCCTTGTTGAGGTTCATGAGATTTCATTTGGCCCAATCCTCCAATGTATCTAAGTCACACTGAAACATAGCCCTACCCTCCAGTGTATCTACTACACCCTCCAGCTTAGGGTACAATCCATTTTCTCTTCCAGATCATTAATGAAGATATTTAACAAAACCTGTCCCAGGACCAACTCCAGGGTGCTCCACTTGTTACCGACTGCCAACTAGACCTCAAGCCTCTGATCATTAGGTGTTGAGCCTGATTATGCAGCCAGCTTTCTTTCCACCAACCCGTGTTTCATTAGTTTGGTTGCAAGAATGTTGCAGGAGATTATATCAAAAGCCGTGCTAAAGTCAAGATATATCATGTCCACTGCTTGCCTCCCATCCTCAGAGCCAGTTATCTCATCATAGAAGGCAGTCAGGTTGGTCAGGCATGATTGCCTTTGGTGAATCCATGCTGACTGTTCCTGATCACTTTCCTTTCCTTTCTTCCAAGTGCTTAGAAATGGATTCCTTGAGGACCTGCTCCATGATTTTTCTGGGGACTGAGGTGAGGCTGACTGGTCTGTAGTTCCCTGGATCTTTCTTCTCTTTCTTAAAGATGGGCACTATATTTGCCCTTTTCCAATTGTCCAGACCCCCTCACCCCTGATCGCCATGAATTTTCAAAGATAATGGCCAGTGGCTCTGCAATTACATCAACCAACTCCTGCAGCACCCTCAGGTTCATCCCCACGTGCCCATGGACTTGTAAACATCCAACTTTTCTAAATAGTCCCTAATCTGTTCTTTCACCACTGCTGACTGCTCACCTTCTCCTAAAACTGCTGATGGTGCAGTAGTCTAGGAGCTGACCTTGCCTGGTGAAGACTGAGATGAGAAAGGCATTGAGCACCTCAGCCTTTTCTGCATCTTCTGTCACAAGGTTGCTTCCCCCATTCAGTAGAGGACCCACGCTTTCCCTGATTGTCCTCTTGCTACTGACATACTTATAGAAACCCTTCTTATTATCCTCCATGTCCCTTGCTAGTTGCAACTCCAGTTGAGCTTTAGCCTTCCTGATTTCATCCCTGCTTGCCTAAGCAATATTGTTATACTCCTCCCTAGTTGTCTGTCCAAGCTTCCACTTCTTGTAAGCTTTCTTTTTGTGTCTGAACTCATTGAAAAGTGATTTGCTAAGCCAAGCTTGTTGCCTGCCCTATTTGCTATTCTTCCAGCACACCAGCATGGTTTGTTTACGTGCTCTCAGTAAGGTTTCTGTAAACTACTATCAGTAGTAGTAGTCTCTTGAGCTCTTTTCTCCCTTAGACTGGCCTCCCAGGGGATCCTGCCCATCAGTTCCCTGGGGGAGTCAAAGTTTGCTATTCTGAAGTCTAGGGTCCATACTCTGCTGCTCTCCTTTCTTCCTTTTGTCAGGATCCTGAACTTGATCATCTTGTGGTCACTGCTGCCCAAGTTGCTATCCACTTCTACATCCCCAACCAATTCTTCCCTGTTTGTGAGCAGCAGGTCAAGAAGAGCACAGCCCCTAGTTGGTTTCTTCAATGCTTACACCAGAAAGTTCTCTCCAAAGCTCTCCAAAAGCATCCTAGATTGCCTGCGCTGTGTTGTATTGCCCTCCCAGCAGGTGTCAGGGTGATTGAAGTCCATGAGAACCAGGGCCTACTATTAGGAAACTTCTCTGAAGAAAGTCTTATCTACCTCTTCCCCTGGTCTGGTGATCCGTAGTAGACACCCACCACAACATCACCTTTTTTGCTCTCTCCTCTGACCCTAACCTAGAGACTTTCAACAGGCCTCTCTCTTCTTTCATACTGGAGCTCTGAGCAATCATATACCATAGGCCTGTGTGAAGCGGCTAATATTTGCTTTGGATTTGGATTCAGCCAATTTGGGGGACAGTGATTTGATTCGGTGATTCGAATCGCTGTCCCAAATTCATTCGGCCGAATCTGATTTGGAGATTTGGCTGCAGCTGAGTCAGCCAAATCTCTGAATCACACAGGCCCCATCCCCCACCCACTCTCCCAGCCCCCCACAGCCTCAGGTCCCGGCTTTTTGAAAAAAAAAAATCTGAATGCAGCTGAGTCAGCCAAATCTCTGAATCACACAGGCCCCATCCCCCACCCACTCTCCCAGCCCCCCACAGCCTCAGGTCCCGGCTTTTTGAAAAAAAAAAAATCTGAACTCACTGGCTGCTGCCAGGTGGGGGTAGAGGAAGGGGGCAATCCCCGCTGGATCACCCACAGCCTGGCACAAGCTGGTGAGTCAGGCCTTTTTTTTTTTTTAAAGAACTGGGAGCTGGGGCAGGCAGGACGGCCAGGGCAGGGTGCTGGGAGAGCGGGCGGGGGTTCATGACAGAGCCTCCCCATGCAGTAGGGGGTCTGCTGCCCCCTGTTTCCCCACACTGCATGGGGGGGCTCTGCCATGAGCCCCCAGAAACCCCGAGGCTGCTGCAGCAGCTGGTGAGTCTGGGTGGGTTTTTTTTAAAGGGCCGGGAGCTGGGGCAGGCAGGGCAGACATGGGGGCAGGCTGGGAGAGCAGGTGGGGGCTGGGGGACCTCGTGATAGAGCCCCCCACACAGCATGGGGCAGTGGGGGGCACCAGGGATCATCCTCCCTGCCTCAAAGTAGCTGGTGAGTGGGGGCTTTTTTTAAACCCCCCCATGGTTCCCTCCCCCCTCCTCCACCCTTCCCTACCCCGCCCTCTACTTACAAGCATGGAGTCCAGGTCCAGCTCCCTGCTGCAGCCAGCAGGGACTGCCTGAATTGCCAAAGCTCTCTGAATCTTTTCTGAAATGATTCAGAGAGCTTTGAGTTGATTTGGACATTTTAACTGGTCCCCTGATTCGATTTGGATTCAGAGGTTTGGCCACCAAATTGGGCCGAATCTCCTCCGAATCAAATCAGCAGCTGAAGCTTTGCACAGCCTTATCATGCAGCTTTTCTACATACAGTGTGACTCTTCTTCTCCCCTGCCTGTCCTTCCTGAACAGTGTGTACTGATCCATGACAGTGCTCCAATCATGTGCACTATCCCACCAAATCTCTGTTATTCCAATCACATCATAGTTCCTTGACTGTGTGAGGACTTCCAGTTCTTCCTGCTTGTTTCCCAGGCTCCGTGTGTTCTGATACAGACACCTGAAGTAACTAGCCAATTGCCCTACTTTCCAGCATAGCCTACCATAGAATTCCTCATTCTAAATCCTCAGTGGCCATGCCTACACGAGATGCTGATGGTGCAGTCATTGTATAAACAAGTACTAAATGACCGCTCAGTAAACTGTGTTACTGCACAGTAGCACTGATGAATGACGTTATTGTGATACCAACTGCGCAGTAGCCCAAGACTACTGCACCATAGTCTTGGGCTACTGTGCAGTCAATATCTTGTGTAGATGCAGCCAGTGAAACAAGATGCTGATTTCTGGTGTCTTACTCTTTTCAGGATTCCTACTGCAGCCTTTGCTGGGGGCCTGGAGTGACAGGTGCACCTCCAGATTTGGAAGGAGAAGACCCTTCATTCTAGTCCTGGCAATAGGTGAGTCATTTAAAAAAAAAACCAAATTTAAAGTGCTTCATCTTCCATATAGTAAGAGGGACAATGAGAATTTGTTTGCTATCTCTCATTAAGACGTAACATGAACATGAGATCCTTAACATTCTGCGAGAGCAGAGGTCTGAGTGATGTGCTAGAGACCCATACTTGGAGGGTTTCCCCTTATCCTAGATCTGAAGAGATGATCCAGGAATATATGACAGCTTATCAGCATAAAACAAACCAGGCTCCAAATAAAGGAATATAATGAGAAAATTCTCTACAATCCCAAGCATGGGGGGGAGTAGGGGGTGTCACTAAAAAGCTTGGACAATGGTAGCAGATGTAAAATGTTTTCATGAATCAGAGATCCAAAAGCTTGTGATAACTGTAGAGCAATGCTTCTGTATTGAGCGTGAGGTAGAGTAATACAAGCAGAACAGGGCGCAGCTTTCTCAGTTTAATTTTCTCTCCCTGATGACAGCTCTGATTCTTTATTTCTAGGAGCATTATTGGGACTCTCACTTATGCTGAATGGCAGGGATATTGGCATTACCTTGGCTGACACTGTAAATAACCATAAATGGGGGATAATTCTCACAGTCTGTGGAGTTGTCTTAATGGATTTCAGTGCAGATTCAGCAGACAATCCTAGTCATGCCTACATGATGGATGTGTGTAGCCCAGTGGATCAGGACAGGGGCCTTAACATCCATGCTTTATTAGCAGGTATGCTCTTTTACATCTTTCATGGCATGTAGCCAGCTGGTCATGAGCAGGGATCCTGGATGTCTCTGATAAAAAATTGCAAGTTCTCTGATTTAAAAAAAAATCACAGATTCTCTGATAAAACCCCCAAAATCCATGATTAAAATGAAACACAACTATATATATATAGGTATCAGTTGAACACAATATTTTATTGATATATTTACAATCTTAAAGCAGTTTGGAAGGCTAACAGTGCATCAATCACTATAGCAAAATAAAATTTAAATACCTATACATTTTGGTATTTTATTTTGGGTTTTTTATCATGGAAAATCAGAACTCTTCTGCCCCCTTAGCTCACCAGGATGTAGGTCCAGGCCCCTGACTCCCAAGCCACAGCCCCCCAGCCCTATTGGTGCCCCTTACTCCCCAACCACAGCCCTTCTGACCCTGCTGCTGCCCTTCATTCCCCACCCACAGCCCACTGCCCTCTGCAGCAGTGCCCAAGCTCTGGCTGATGCCCTTAGGAGGCAGCAGCTGCTGCAGCAAAAGCAGAGTGCAGAGCCTGGCTCCCCCTCCCCTGCAGGTGGCATGGCCAGAGCGGATCCCTTTCGGGAGGGCAAGAGGGGGTGCAGGCTGCCCACTGCAGGCTTGGGTGGAGAGGGCTGGCTTCCCACTGATGTGCACAGTACCAGGGAGGCAGGGAAGGGCATGTGTCCCTCAGATCTTTGAATGGGGCGCGGGGTGGGGTTGGCTGCAGGCTGCCCTCTGCAGGCTCAGGCTCCCCACCTTGTGGGACAGGGCATGGCATGGCAAGGCAGGGAATCTTGGCAGGGCAGGGCAGGGAATCTTGGTGCCACTGCTGCAAGCCCTGCACTGCCCTGGTGACATGCCCCCTGCCCACCTGGCAGCAGTGAGGAGCACAACTCTGCACTGGTGTCCCTGCTGCAGCCGAGTGGGCAGGGGTGCCTTGCCAGGGCAGCATGGAGCTTGCAGTGGCAAGGAGCTTCCCTGCACAGCCGCACTCTCCCCTGCCAGACTGCATCATGCCTGCTGGGATGAGGAGGCCCTGGGGGAAGGGCATCAGCGTGGGGAGCCCAAGCTTCCAGCAGGCAGCTCACACCTGCTCCGTAAACAGATCTTGAAGGATGTGTTCCCCATGCCCTCCCTCAGGAGTGCATGCCGCGACAGAGCCAGCCCCCCCCTCCCTGCCACCCAGATGAGCTGTCCATGGTTCTGTTCCATTCCCTGCCAGGGCCCCGTGCCTGTGCATTCCATTCTGGGCCCCAAACCCCACTTACTGCACAGCTGGGCAGCAGCCTCAGCCTTAGCCCCAGTCCTTCCTAACTTCCTCCCTCCTTCCCTATGGGGGCCTCAGTTCCCCACCCCCTGGCTAGACTTACCTGCAGGAGCTGCTCTCCAATCTGCCTGGCAGCCATGTACTTGTACATGCATATGGTGCCCCCTCCTGACCACCCTTCTCCCGCTCCCCCCAGCCCCTTGCAGGCTGGAACTCTGCCACCCTGCAGAGAGCTCTTTGCAAAAATGCAGACTCCGAGTGTTTCTCTGTTAAAATGAAAAATCTGTGTTTTTCTTGGGTAAAAGGGAAAATCCATGCTTTTTTTTCCATGGAAAATGGAAAACCCAGATCCCTGGTCATAAGCAAACAAGCCCTGACATAGGGGCAATGTATAAAGGTGTGTACATGCCTGAAGTTCAGTAGATACAACTTTGGATTGTGGAACTACCTTCCCCTTTCACTGCACTATAAACAGAATTTAGTAAACAATGGTTAGTAAAATGAATAAAAGCAGTACGGTATTTGTGCATTTCACAGATGTATGAGATGTGAGATGTAGTAAAGATTCTCACAAGTTTCAAAGTGAAATACACTGCATCCCAAGTAGCCTACCACAAAGCCCTCTTTTATCCCTGCAATTCAAATAGGTGGGATGGCAACATCATTTAGAGGGAGAAAAGTGAGCCTACTGCAATCAGGAGAACATTTTTACTCCTTAGGTAGGTAAGTGCCTCTGGTCATGGGACAATGACAACATGCAACACATTAGAGTGGCTTGTCATTAGCTGAGCTGGGCTAAGGTTAAAGCAGAATTTTTGACTTCCAGTTTTGCTTATCTCAGTCACTTGTGTATCAACAGACCTTTTCCCCTTTCTGCATTCATGTGGTCCTTTTGGTACAGGCTGTTCATTTATTATTAAATGGGGTTATATATCTCTTAAGGGATTAGCTCTGAATTTAAAAATATCAGCTAGAATAGTAGCTCAGAATGTGTGATTAAAAAAGTGCAGTGCTGCACTTTCTTTAGGTATTGACTAGGAAAGATAATCTCAGCTCTATTTTTCTACTAGGTCTTGGAGGTGGTTTTGGTTATGTTGTTGGAGGAATAAATTGGGAAAAAAACAGTTTTGGAAGAGCCGTAGGAGGGCAACTTCGTGTCATTTATGTCTTCACATCAATAATACTGACCATCACTACTGTCTTGACTCTAATTAGCATTCCAGAAAGGCCCCTGCAGTCTTCTACCAAGAAAAAAAAGGTGATGAAGAGTCCAAGTCTTCCTCTTCCTCCTTCCCCACCTCTCTTATTTGAGGAAGGTATAAATGAAAACCTCAGTTCTCATAGCTCATCTCATTTGTATGCAAGTTTTACGACTCCAATGTCTCCTCCCAGCCCACTGACACCCAAATATGGCAGTTTTATCAGCAGAGACAACTCCTTGACAGGAATTAATGAGTTTGCATCATCATTTGGGACCTCAAATATTGACAGTGTGCTCATAGACTGCTTTACAGGAGGACATGATGGTTATTTAGCAATCCCAGCAAGCTTGCCCAGGCAGACAATCAGTGTGAGCTTTCCAAGAGTAAGGGATGGCTTTTACTGTCAAGAAAATGGAATTCTGGAACAAGGGGAGAATTCTGTAACTCCTGGGCCAGATGGAGATGCGCTATGGGTGGGTTCACTGGATGCAATAAAGCCACAATCATCAGGGATCCTGAAAAGGCCCCAGACCTTGGCCATTTCAGATACTGTAATAGGAAATTGTCCAGAGAGCAGCAGAAGGAATGTAACCTTCAGTCAACAGGTAAGAAGAATAACTA